GGGACACATTTGACCCATAGTATTCCACTGCTGGCCCCCAAAGTTTATATTCTTTTCACAGGTAAATGCATTCATTTATTTTATCCCCAAAGTCTTAACTTATATCAGCTGAAAAGTCTGAAGTCTCATCTGTGAACTCAAACAAGTTATCTACTGTCAAAATACAATTGTGGGAAAAGCTTAGGGTGTATATTCCTATTCAAAAAGAGAGAGAGGCCAAAAGAAAGGGGTAACAGATCCTAAGCAAGTTTGAAACCCAGCAAGAGAGGCATTAAATCTCAAAGCTGGGGAATAATCTCCCTTGACTCCATGTCTTGCATTCTCTGTTCACTGGTATAGGGGTTGGGCCTCCCAGTCTTTGCAGAAGTCCCACTCCTATGGCTTTCCTGGGATCAGCCCATGCTTCAGCTTTCTCAGGCTCATTGCATGCTGGTAGCTCTACAATTCTGGGGTCTCCATGGCAGTCCCATGCCCATCGCTCCACTAGCTACAGCCCTTGTGGGTTTCTCTGCTGCTACTCTGACTCCACATTTGCCCTCGGCATTACTCTATGAGGAATCTAGGTGATGACTCTTCCTCTGTAACAAATCTGTTACTTTGTCGCCAGGCTTTTCCATACATCCTTGGAAGTGGGTGGAGGCTCCCATGCCTCCACAGCTGGCGTTCTGTGAGCCTGCAGATTTAATACCATGTGGATGCCACCAAGGTTCCCAGCTTATGTCTTCCAAAGCAGCAGATCCAGCAGCACCTGGGGCCAATTTGGCTACAATTGTGGCAGCTGGAGCAGCCAGAACAGCCAAGGTGCAGGGATCAACCAGAGTGTTGGGAGCAGCATCCCGAGGGAGGCCCTGGACAGTGAGCTGATGGAAGGTGCCTGTCCCCCAAACCATATTGTCTCCCTAGGCCTCTAGGCCTGGGATGAAAGGGGAGTCCTCAAAAATCTCTGAAATGCCTCCAGGGACTTTTTTTTCACTCTCTTGATAATTCATTTGTTCTGTCCTGATATCCTCAGTAAATGGTCACTGGGCTGCACCCTTGGTTTTTTCTACTGAACATACTTTCTTAATCTTTACATGGCCAGACTCAGAGTTTTCTGTTTTTTTACCCTTTGCTTCCCTTTTAATTATAAATTTTGGCTTTATGTCATGCCTTTTCTGCCATAACTGAACATAGGCTGTTAGAAGTAGCCACGTAGCTGCCTGAATGCTTGGCTGCTTAGAAATTTGTTTTGCCAAATACCCTGGTTCATATCTTTTAAGTTCCACATTCCATAAAACCCTTGGGCATGAACAGAATGCCGCCAAATTCTTTTCTACTGTGTAACAAGAGTAACTTCCCTCCAGTTTCCAATAAGCTCTTCCTCATTTCCATTTATGGCCTCCTCACAATGGCCTTTACTGTCCATATTTCTATCAGCATTCTGGTCACTAACATTTAACCAGTCTCTAAGACCTTCCAAACTTTCCACCTTTTTTTTTTTTTTTTTTTTTTTTTTGTCTTCTAAGCTCTTTCCAGAATTTAGGCTTTCTCTAGCCTGTTCCTCCAAATCTTTCCAGCCTCTGCCCAACACGCAGTTCCAAAGCCACTTCCACATGGTATTTGTTATTAGCAACACGCCTCTTCTCTGTACCAGTTTTCTGTTTTAGTGTTCTCCAGAGAGATAGAACCAATAAAATATGTATGAGAACATATGCGAGGGGATTTATGGGGGGAATTGGCTCACGCAATTTTGAAGGCTGAGGAGTCCCACAAAAGCCATCTTCAAACTGGAAGCCAGTAGCATGGCTCAGTCCAAGTCCAGAAACCTCAGAAGCAGCAAAGCCAGCGGTGTGATTCTCAGTCTGAGGCCAAAGGTCTGAGAGCCTAGAGATGCTGCTGGTGTAAGTCCTGGAGCCCAAAAGCTGAAGAGTCTCAGGTCTCGATGTCCATGGATAGGAAAGAAGAGTGTATCCCAGCTGTAGCAGATAGAGCAAGAGATTTGCCTTTTCCTGTTTTTATTCTCTCCGGGCCTCCAACGGATTGAACAGTGCCCATCCGTACTGAGGCCGGATCTTTCCCATCTAGGCCACTCAGGCCTGCATGCTAATCTCTTCTAGAAACACCCTCATAGACACACCCAAAAAGATTGTTTTACCAGGTTTCTAGGTATTTCTTAATCTAATAAAGTTGACAACTGAAATTAACCATCACATTACACTTGCTATTTTGCAAGAACATAGAGTAATAAACAGAATGGATAGTGAAAGTGACTCATTTTGGACACCAGAATCTCAGTTATAACAGCCAATATGTACAGTTCCAGAATCTCCACAAGGGAGTATCTGTTGCTTTCAATCTGACCCTCTGTGACGATAACAAAAGCATTTCTAAGAATATTTTAATGCACAGTATGGAATGAGAAGTAGATACATTTTACAATACAATCTAATTAAAATATAAGTACATTACGTAGTATGTGAATGCAAAGATGTTCTTAGTTGTATTTTACTTTTTCTTGTAGCTAAGGGCACTTGGAGCTTTCTCTTCTATATTAGTTGATCATTCTATATGTGTTGAACATAGTTCTTGGCTCATACCTATTACGCATACTAGTGCCATTATTATTTGTAGGTTATCTGCAACTTCTGCTAATGTGTGGTCCAAAATCCATGCCAAATGACATTTCTTTACCAATTAATAGCTAAAAAGATTTATCTCTCTAATAAACACTGCAAAATTGCTAATAACATTGCTGTTTTTTGCTCATAAAACTCTTCTTTTGCCTGAGTGTGCTTCATCTGTGTTTTCTCTACCAACACTATTAATGTGTTCCTCCATACTGGGATAAACCAATGTGTTTTCACAGTTTTTGATAAGAAAAGTCACTTCCTAAATAGGGTTGGAGGTAATGGTTAGTCTGTTAGGAGGAATGACAGAAGTTATGACATGTTCTAGACAAAAAATTAATAGTACATCCTCCAAGCTCCATGTTTACTTTAGTGTTATCATTGTGACCCTGAACATTTAATAATAATTGTATACAAGTTAAAGGATAAATTGTTTTTTAAAATGAATGAATTTTACTTTTTAGAACATATGATGCCAGAGCAGGTTCATAATCTCTCTTCTAAGAACTAAAAGAAATAACTGTTCAACCATTGGAACAGTGGTTAAGGGAGGAATTGTAGAGCTCTAGAGCCACTCTTTTCCAGGCAGGTGTGATTGTTTGGTGTACAAAAAATGTATGTCACTATTGACCTTTCACTCCTCTTTTCTATTGCACTAAGAATTCATCCCTTCACCCCAAGACATTCAGTGTCTCAAGAATACCCATAGTGGCTTAGAGTTCCCAATCTGATCAACCTGATGCCAGACAGGAGTAATTTCAGACATCCCTTCCTCTTCATCTCCACCTTTGCTCCGTCAGGGTAGTACCCTTCTAGGTGAATGCTCATTCTTAAGAATTGTGAGACCTGGGTCAAGAATGTAAACCGAGGCCCACATATTTTATGTTTCATTACTTATTATAAACCAAACAGAGATTATTAAATAAAAATATGTACTATCCTCCCACTTTGACAGGTATATCTTTATAATAACCTAGATGGCCAGGACAATGTGAGAATTTTTGGTCTCTTCAGGAATATGGTGGCATAGAGAGATGGCCCCTCGCCTACAGTCTCTCCTCAACCCAGTTCTGTCCTGTATTGTGAGAGGTCTTTCATGCAAATGAGTGGACACTTTAGCCCACATGTCCAGGGTCTGTATACTGTCCTCTTTCAAACATCTCACCTGGGCCCTAACTGGATGGATGCATGCTGATGGCACAATCTGCCGTCTGGGGACAGAACTGGGAAGGATGATCTCACAGGCCCTGGAGGAGGGCTCAGGGTTATTTGGGAAGGGAATTTAGGATCCCAGAGTTTGTAGCATGGACTAGAAGGGGGTAGTGCAGACTCCAGATGGAAGTTTCTCTTAATCTCCCAGACTTTGCTTGGTGGTGAATGACATGGCCAGAGAAGGGCCAGAGTGCTCAACAAATACTTGGTTTCTTAATTGGCACTGTTGGGGTCACATGGGACACCTGTGAACAAATCGAAGAGCTTTACTTTGTAGAGCTGTATTCTGGAAAGGGGAGGAGGTACCCCTTTTAAGGGTACAGCAAATCCTCAAGGTAGAACCACATTTGGCATGTGGAAAGAAACACAAGGAGACCAGCATAACTGAAATTGAGTGAGCAAGGTAAAAAGTGGACAAGGGAAGTCAGAAAGAAAACCAAACATATGAGAACCTTAAAAATTTAACTTGAAATTTTTGTGTATCCACAATCAGAAGGTAAAAGAGAAACAGTTAACACTCACTTTAATAATACATTTTCATCTAACTCAATTTATCTAAAATGTTATCATTTCAACATATAATCTTCAAAATTCAGAGTGTATTTTATGCTTATGACACATCTCAATTCATGCCAGCTACATTTCAATTGCTCAGTAGCCATATATGGCTAGTGGAACTGCACCAGACAGCACAAATACAGATTTGACTCGTTACTGAAAAGACTTTGTCTATTACTCTGGGTGACTTAGGAGGCGTTTCAGGGTTTTTGGCATTGAAATGTCATGATTTGAATTACGGTTTGAAAGGATCAGGGAAGAAATGAGGAGTGGACACAGGCAAACTTATTGTAGCAATCTAGATGAGGAATGATGGTGGATGACAGATGGGAACAATGGATGATGTTAGACGTGGTTAAATTTCTGATAATTTTGAAAGTAGAACAAATAGAATGGATCACATTTGGTGTGTTAGAAGAGAGTCAATGATGACTGTAAGATTTGAGCCTGGAAACCAGAAAGAATGGATTGACCTCAACTGAGATGAGGAAGGCTGCTGGAGGGGTGGTGGGGAAAGATCGTTCATATTTTAGTAGGTGTATCTGAAAAGTGTATTGGACATCCCAGCAATGATGTTCCATAGGTAGTTGGATGTGAGTCTGGAGTTTAGGGGAGAGTATAGAGATGGAAGTTTGGAGATCATGAGCCTTGAAACTAGATAAAATCACCAAGGGAGTGAGAAAAGATAAAGAAAAAAAAAAGTACCAAGGACTGAGCACTGGGGCTTCTAAAATTAAAAGATTTAAAATAACATGACATGGGTATTAACATAATACTAAATACTTCCACATGTTTGTATTATTTTTAATCTTTAAGAAATTTTAATGCACATGTTCATAACTGTCATGATGATCTTGTCCATTTTACTAAAAAACTATAAATGAAACAAATCCTTTTTTCTTCATGACATTGTTTTGCTTTAAAATGTCTTGCAAACCTTCAGATAATTAGCTCATATTATAGATAACAACTTTAAGCAGTAGACAATAAAAATTAAAAGTGTGGTTATAATGAATTTAGTGACGATAAACAGTTTTCAATACAGGCTTTTATTTGTGTGTTCCCAAGATATATACAGGGGAAATGTTCTCTGATAAGTGTAGCACTAAATACCCACATAGCAGTTTCAAATCTGTCCCACAGTCCACAAACTAATACAGATTTGTTTTACTTGTGATAGACTTGCCTATTTGCTTTTATATGTAAAGTTTGATTGATGGTTATGTGTCTTTACCTCATTAAACCTTTATTCCTTTAACTATATTCAAATCTCAGGTATGAAGATGTCTCATAAAACAAAATCCATTACTTTACTATTGCACATTCATGATTTTTTAAAATTAAAATGATATTCTAACCCTTTGTGATCTTGTAATATCAAGCCTATTATTTAGAATATAACAGAAATTAGTGTATTAAATTAAAAGCTGAAACTCAGTTGAATGATTCATTTTTATCTAAGTGACTGCATACACATAGTGACAAATTAACTTAAAAAAATTTTTAACACAGGCAATTGTTTTTGTTTTTTCAGTCTATTCGAGAAGTCACAGGCTACGTGTTAGTGGCTCTTAATCAGTTTCGTTACCTGCCACTGGAGAATCTACGCATTATTCGTGGGACAAAACTTTATGAGGATCGATATGCTTTGGCAATATTTTTAAACTACAGAAAAGATGGAAACTTTGGACTTCAAGAACTTGGATTAAAGAACTTGACAGGTGAGAAAAATATCAAATAGCAAATACACTTTCATTATCAATATAATGTGAGCACATATACAAATGCGTATGCATGGTTACTGTAGTATCTGTTGCATTGAGGAACACTCTAAAGTATTTAAATATCGGCTATTTATTTATTTTATGAGAAATGATGCCCTGTGATGCCTTGCTCTTATTTACAGATCTTGTAAGTGCAGTTTGAAGGATACCATAACACTGTATCTCAGCTGAACAGAAGTTCACTCTAAGGAATTGCTCAGTGACTGAAAACTGAGATATGAAACAGGTTAAGACTGCTATGTTTTGTGGTCTCAGATGAACAATGGACCATATCATCAAATCTCTGCAATGACACCACAGCTGTCACTCTCATTAAAGCTTAGTAAAATCCACGCCATTATATCTAGTTCCACTAATCTTTAGTTTTTTGCACAATCACCTTATTTTTGGAAAGTATATCTAATTTATTCAGTTTTGATTTCTCTTACTCAGTAGCTCATCAAATGCCATCAGTAATTTTTTGTCAGTATGCGTCAATATCATCAAAGTCATTTTTTCTCCCTAAGATTGAGGATACATGATACTAGCCACCTAAAATTATTATCTTGCTACAAAAAAACTCTTTATGGGAATGTGTTTTGTAAAGCTGGTTCTTACAGTCCCACTGGTATCATTTCAGTTCATATAGTTCATAGTTGAAAACTTTTGTTGTAATATTTCTAATCATATGTTTTGTCTTGTATATCTATAATTAAAATGTGATAATTAGTAATTAATTAGTAACTTACAGTGGGATGAAGCTTGCATTATTAATTTAATTTAAATTAATTTGATATATATATTTTACATCCAAATATGTAGTGATTTTATATGTTTTGAGTCCACTCAGTGGCACTGTTCCTTGACATTAAAAAATTAAACATTTTAGATGTATTGCCTTAAAATACTTCAGAAAAAATAGAATTATTATTCTCAGGTTATTAAGATTATTTGTTTCTTACTTTCACAGTGGATAGAAAATTTGTAGTTTTAAGTTAGAAATAGTTTTATAGTTAGCCAGACATTTGAGATAAAATTGGAATATTTTGGGTACAGAAAGGAATACTGATGTTATTTATTTTGGACATGATTACTATATAATTAATGAAATAATGGTAAATGTAAATTGTTCAGAATTTATAGTTCCCTTCATCAACATTTTTACTTTTCTTTCTTTCAAAGATAGTTTTCTTAGTATAAAATGGGGGTTTTGACTAAAATGCTACTTACATGGAAATAATCATAGGAAAAAGACTGCTGAAAATGAAAGGGAAGTGAAAAATTAAATGATTGAAATTAGAAATCTAAATATATGATCCTATTAAAACCTGTATAGAAAGCATTTGTTTTCTTCATGATTTTTCTCTAATTATAGTGAGGGAAAAATGAATGAAGTTCTTTTCAAACTTTTTATAGTACTTGAATACTGTCATTATTTCATAGATATGTTATTTGAAGAATCTTTCCATACAGAAAATTAGTTTTTCAAGAGTTCTTTTATTTATTTTCATATTTAACATTAGTACTACTAAAATGTTTTTTTAATTATTTAATCAAAATTATGCCACATTTAAACATAACATCTGTCAAGTGAGCTCAGGTCATGCATTACTTACAATTGTTAACAGTTAACTTTTGTCATACCAAAATATAACATTATCATTTCAAAAAATGTTATTTCTTACTCTGCCAGAGAGTCTTATGATACTTTTTGTGTAATAGAAATGGGTAATTAATAAATATTAATAGAATAAGTTGATTTTTTAGAAAAATATGTATTTGTTCAAAACTTATTATTGATTTTTTTTTAATATGAACTAAAGAAAAGTACAATAAAATGAACGATGAAAAATTAGGGCAATTTGGACATTTTCCAAATACTCTATTAGTTTGTTGACAATTATAGACCAAACTTATTCTATAAGAGAGACAGTGTAGGATCATCTAACTTACTTTAGGTAATCTGATCTACAGTGTAACTCTACTTCTGAGAATCAGAAGTTGCATGGTAAGAATGACTGTTTTTGTGTGCAGAACATGTGAGGAAGGACAGAGACATCTAACTTTACATGAAGAGGAATTTGGTATAAAATTTTCTCTGTAGTAATATCTTAAAAAGCTAAATGTTCTAAAATTAAAATAACAAAATACATTGCAATTTGCTTCAGATAAGATTGTTTTTGTGCTTTGGAAAAGTATTTGTTTTATATTGCTTGTTTATCTGCATACAAAATAAACTGATAATTTTTAAAAAAAAATTATGTATATTAAGTTCAGGGCTACAAGACTGGCCCTAATTGTAGATTTACCTGGTATAATATGAGGGGAAATAGAAACTCTGCTGATTAGTCAAATACCTCACTGCTGAATGTACCATAGTGTATTAAGTTTTTAAGTTGGTTCCTAAAGTAACACCTAAAAGAAACATTTCTTAAAGAAATAACAGCTTCATCTGGGCACTTGTAAGAAATGCAAATTCTTGGGCCTCATTTGAGACCTACTGGAAAAGAAACTTCAGGGATGGAGCCCAGCAACATGTGTTTGAAGTATCCTACCAGTGATTTTGATGATTACTAACATTTGAGAGATACTATTTGGATTAATTAGAGGAATGTTACCAAGAAATGGTAGCATAATGTCTAGGTAATCTCTTCACATTTATTTGATGCAAATAATTTTCATTCATTTGTCATCTTGTGTAGAGAGGGGAAAGGATGAGACAGGAACAATAAGTTTTGATTGAATGAAAAGATATACACCCTAGGTTGGGGTGAGAATGAAAAGAGCAAATTGGGAGCCTGGATGAAAGGAGTATAAAATGGCTAGGAGATGAGGAAGATGCTGGGAATAAACTGTATCAAGGTTTGCTGTGTACCAACTTCTTGTAATGGTAAACCACTACAAGGACAATGATAATTCATGGTGAATTTTCTTCTTAAAACTTTATTTTTAAGCCCTTTGAACAGATAAATAGTGAGTAGTATTGTGAGGACAGGAAGTATTCAATGTTAGAGCAAACAATTCTGAGATAAAGATTTTAGGTTTTTTTGGGGGGCGTACATGTATGTATGTATATATGTGTATATATATATGTATATACACACACACACATAAATATGTTTATTATACACAAGTCTACATATACAGACATACACACATACACACATGTGGGGTCTTCAAGAAGTTCACGGAAAGTTTCATTTTATCTTGTAATTCCATTTTTCCATGCACTTATTGAAGTACCCTATGTACATACCTTGTGTTTCTCCTGAAATCTTTTTTGCTGTTTGACATTAGAAGAGTATGCCTTTAGAATAGAATGTTTGCTTCCTACAAACTCTTTGTGTAAAAGGGATATTCAGTTAACACGAGGACTGTCATATACAGTGGTTAATGGCAGGATGCCATTTAGACATACATAAATTAATTCTCACCATGAACATTCTTAATAGTTAGCTTGATGCTCACCCAGAGCTATTCCATGGACTACAGACATTGCTACAGATCTTTCAATTTGGCTGTGCCCAAAGGCAAGGAACAGATTTAAACATACTTTCTGGCTAAACATAAAAGCTTGTTCTATTGCTGCCTCTCGTACTTCCCTGGTTCATTATAAGTGGGGTGAGGTAGCAGGGACAGAGGCAGGTCCCTGGACCAAGAACAGGCCGCACAGTCTAAAAGGGAATGAGAACCTGTCCTGGAATCCTGTACATGTCCTGTTGGCACTGGCTCATCCTATTTTGGCCAGGGGAGAAACCATACTCCCTGATCATCCCCATCTAATCATTTGATCTTGAAGCCTTTGGAAATGTAACTATTGCATCAGAGGAGTACACAGCTGCAGGAGAATACATCACTTCCCCTATTAAGGTCACTTGCACATGACTGTGGTACTTATTATTCATTCCCAATAATGATGTCCTGCTGATTTTTTTCCATCAGCTCCTTCTTAACCAAATATTCCAACTTCAATTTAACATTTAATATTATGTTTACAAGCTTAGTTGTATAAGCTTCTACTTATTTAGTCACTAGTCTGACTTGACTTTTAAAGGAATTTCATTATGTGGGACATAAGAAAAAACTGTTATTTTTCACCTTCTATAATTCATAAAATCACCTCGTCTGTTATAAAAGTGGATCATTTATACAATTTTATCTATATGTTTTATTGTAGATATGAAGGAATCTTTGAGAAATACCCACGTTAATATCTATTTTAACTACTCATATACCACTTATAATAGCTAGGTATGATAATCCAGGTACAAATTAATACATATATAGGTATATTTATTGCAACAGTTTTCACCTTAAATATTTGAATTTTTACTTTTTAAATTATGAGAATATCTATTTTGAATAGGTAAACTTTGAGATAATATAAAAATACAATTCGTGTTTTCCAAAAATTAACTAAATACTCCATATTTTTAGATCAATGCATTCATGCATTTTTGCCTTTATTTAACATTTTATCAACATTGTAATTGTTTGGTTAGCCGTGTACTAGATCATCTTGATTAGATTTTTATTTGAGGTGTTATATTAGTCCCTTTTCTGTTGCTTATAACAAAATACCTGAAACCGAGTAATTTGTAAAGAAATGAAATATATTTCTTACAATTTGGAGGCTAGGAAATCCAAGTCTAGGGAACACATCTGGTGAGGACCTTCTTCTTGGTGGTGACACCCTACAGAGTCCTGTGACAATCAGGGTATCAAATGGCAAAAATATCCTGAGCAAGAGAGCTAACCTTCTTACATGCTCTCCATATAAAGCCATCAGAAACATGCTTGTGATAACTCATCACTTCATGAATGGATTAATCCATTCAGGAGGTTACAGTCCTCATGACCCGATCATCTCTCAAAGGTCCCACCTTTTAAATACCATAATTGGATTTTCAAACCTCTTAACACTGTTACAGTGGAGATCAAGTTTCCAATACATGAAT